CAGTTTGAGCCCTTGCCAGTCACAGCAGAACAGGTCAAACGAGAAACACAGAGAGATCCTCTATTGGTGAAGGTCCATGGGTTAGTTATGAAAGGATGGTCCACTCCACAAGATGAAGCGATTAAACCGTTTTACCAGCGGAAAGACGAACTGACAATTCACTGTGGTGTCCTAATGCTTGGACACAGAGCAGTCATTCCTGCAAAGTTGCGTAATCAAGTGTTAACCGAGCTTCACGAAGGTCACCTCGGTATTGTTAAAATGAAGTCTCTGGCGCGAAGTTACATCTGGTGGCCCAAAATTGATAAGGACATTGAGCACCTAGCCAAGAGCTGCCCTGGTTGTCAACTTCAACAGAATGAAGCCGGCAAAGTACCACTGCACCCTTAGGAATGGCCAACCACACCTTGGCAGAGAATCCATTTAGATTTTGCTGGGCCGTTCCTAGGACGAATGTTCCTTATCATTGTAGATGCACACTCGAAGTGGCCTGAAGTGGAAATAATGCCATCCACCACATCGACGCAGACCATTGACCGACTCCGAACTATTTTTGCCCGATATGGAGTGCCAGCACAGGTGGTGACCGACAATGGGCCACAATTTACATCCGCGGAGTTCCAACTATTTTTGAAGACTAATGGTATCAAACATATTACCACGGCCCCATTCCACCCTGCAACCAACGGTCAAGCGGAACGTTTTGTTCAGAGTTTCAAACATGCTATGAAATGCGAGAAACAAAGTGCATCCCAGCTGAAAACCAATATGGCAAAGTTCCTTTTGGCTTACCGGAATACCCCGCATTCGATGACTGGAGAATCACCGTCCGTGTTGTTTTTGGGCAGATCGCTACGGACTCGCCTCGATTTGGTGAAACCTGATTTACAAAGGAAAGTGATGAACAGGCAAATCGATCAAGCGGGGAGGAAAGGACATTCCCCCACACGTCAGTTATCCATTGGTCAGACTGTCATGGCACGTAACTACAGTGGGAAAGACAAGTGGCTACCAGGCATAGTTCAAGCTCAAACGGGACCCCTTTCGTACGAGATAAAAGTTGGTCCAAATCGAATTTGGCGACGTCACATCGACCAGCTTCGAGCCTCGAGCGTGAAAGTAAATGACCAGAGTGATGATACGGCTGAACCTCATCCAGAGCTCGGAGAGACTGGCCAGAATATTGCACCAGCAGAAGAAATTGTCGCAGAGCCGGATATCGAACTAGCCACGAATCCACCAGTAGTGCAACAAGAAGCCGGTAGGGCTACAACAGGATCTGAACAACGCTACCCAACTAGATCACACCAACCACCCGAGAGGTGGGGTCTTAACTGTTTGATCCGAAAACTGTTTAAGAAAACTACATAGAGAACTGCTTTATAATTACTTACTGTTATGGTTAGCATAATTGTTCGAACACGATAGTGAACTCATGAACAATATTTTATGATACATTCCTTAAGAGGAGAGATGGTGTTAGATATATAGATATAGATGGACAGCGGTCATACGCACGGACATGCGCATTAGATATGTAGATCGGCCATGCTTATGTATTATTCATATTTTGTTAAAAGTATAATCTAAATACACGACAATAACAGTCTCTACTTATCTGTATTGTTAAGAAAATCGTATACGGCTTATTTCTGTGATATACATATGTGTTGTTCTGTTAAGTATTTGCTAAGTTGACACTTGACATGTATACTTTTATAATAATGTGATTTGTTTGAAATATACATAATTACGCTATTGACGAAGGGCCTTCATAAATTTCGAAACATCGACTCGAGTTGTTTTTTAAGGTAGTATTTTTACATTGGTACTACCCACACTGGTAAAGACAGTTTTAGTATATATTCACATTAATAGCATGTAGACAGCCTTTCCCAATGTATGGCTCTATCAGCCAGGGTGCATTCCATGTAGAGTGCACGCCGAAGTTCCGCCGCTGGAAAATTCGCACACGCCGCCAGACTGCCAGATTCAATTAATCTATATTTTGGCAAAATTTTTCGGCGACCTCCTCCCCCCCCCCCCTCGCCAAAAAATTTCGGTCAGTGTGCCATTTTAGGGGTCAAAATTTTTTTCCCGACATCTCAAAAGTTTTCGTTGCATAAAACAATTTTTCCCGGCATTACCAAATTTTCTCCATTTATCCAACTTTTTTTTCATAAATCCGAAAATTTGGCACAATTCTCTAAAATTTTTGTCAATTTAGCTCATTCTTCTCCAAATTCACACTTATTTTTGTTAATTAACTTTCTCTGGGCCTAGAAATTACCTGAATTTGTGTTCATTTACCTGAATTTCTTCTGCAAATCTACCTGGATTTACCTGAAATTGCCCACATGAGCAATTTATGGGGGGGTGTTACACCCCCACAACCCCCCGGTCTGCACGGCCCTGCGCGCGAGTGGTTTTAGACACAATAAAACACGAGTCTTGAGTGTATTGAACGGCTTCAAAAACCAATTAGTATTCTTTATATAAGGAATACTAAGTAGGAAGTGTTTTATCAAATATGAAACCACCGCATGTAACATATTATACTTGATTTGGTTGGCAAAAAGATCATGAAACTGTTAAGTTATCCGATAAACAATAGAGACTTAACGAGGATATTTTCTGATTGCATTATATTAAGTTTGTACGCCGTTGAGGGAAAAAAAAGACTACGCCGGCACGCCAACATTAGCTTTTGGACGCCGCTGCGCCGTAGGGTATCGCAACTCCACGCGGCCGAAGATCTTCGGGTTTGGCTACATGGAATGCACCCTGGCGCACATTCGCACAACCATGTATAAATATTCTCTATACATTCCAGTTTACCTTTAATTTGTCAAGTGGTAGGCAAGATATTAGTCCTTTTGATTTGTTATTCTCTTGACCCGACACGGGAGTGATAGGAACTTGAAAAAATGACAGTTGCATACTTGCGTGTAATTTGCTCGGAACAATTGCAAGATTGATTGCAATGTTGCAATACTCATGGGAACAAACATCCGGTTTGACTGTAAGAGTTATATCAGTGCAAGACTGCTATAGAAGAAGATTTTATCAAAATAAAGTCAGGATGAAGTCTATTAATACCACGATTACTAATACTACTCTTGAAAGCTTTTCGAAA